TTACTGTGTTCTAATTTCTAAGCTTTCTTCCCAACCAGAATGGAAAATTTCCATCTTTGCAAAAGAAATTTTTTTAATAAATCATAAGTTGCACATTTCAGCCGAATCCTCATAACGAACCAAGCACCCACTGCTCAGCCCATTTTTACCACTGTCTATACTTCGTTTCCCGTTTCAGGGTATGTCGTAATTGCAGTCTTGGTCGCACACGTGGTAACAATCCCGAAGCAATGTTCTTATGGTGCTTTCGGTGGTACCTGATGCAATGTGTATTGCCAAGTCCGCAATAACGACATATCCGGCAACGGGAAACAAATATTCATAACCTATATACTTAGTATAAGTACCATCATACTTTTACGGCGATTTTATGAGAATTGAGGATCGAGAGAATCTTTCACGATAAGCGAGTCAACGATTTATGTCAAACTTTTACTTTTAGCCACAAAAACATTATCAGAACTTGATAAGATCGGGTTTGTGCGAAAAATAAGGCAGGATGACGCCAGTTGGAAGAGCGCCAAAAACTATCTAAACACTGCAATAAACATAATGTCGCAAAAAGTATAATGGTACCCTTATTTAGAAACAAATGCTCGAGGTAGCATGCATCAAACCCTACCTTAACCCATCGCGGACCGCCGCATGGCGCTCATGTCCTTAAGGGGAACATTCAAAACAGGGCCGATGATACATAGATGACACTAGCACTAAGGGTGTGGTTCACTAGGACAGAAAGCGAATTTTTCGCGTTTCGCAGCGCGAAACATTGTTCGTTGCGTCCACTGATGATTCGCTGCGGGAACCTCGGGTCCACTGATGATCAGCGGTGGACCTGAGGTTCCCGCAGCGAAAAATGTTTCGCGCTGCGAAACGCGAAAAAGTCGCTTTCTGTCCTGGGGGGTATTCAATCCTTCCCCCAGGGGGATATATCCCCCTACTCTGATTCAATCCTCTGGGGGGACAAAAAAGGGTTGCGTCATAGGACCTAGCATACCTCTGTGTTTCTACCTGCCAGACAGTTAGAGCAGCGCTACTACCCTCCACTGATGAAGCACTCTTTCCCCTGAGGGGTCGCGCTGCTCTAACTGTCTGGCAGAAACACAGAGGTATGCGAGGTCCTATGACGCAACCCTTTTTTGTCCCCCCCCCCCAGAGGATTGAATCAGAGTAGGAGATATATCCCCCTAGGGAAGGATTGAATACCGCCCCTGGTGAACCACACCCTAGCACCAACACGAGGAGAGGGAAGGAACGCTAGGGAGAATATGAATTGTTCACATCTTCGCCCAAAATTCCTTTCCTCCCTGACCATAGGGCTTAGTCCCAAGTACAAGAAATGGTTCACCCACTTTAATGCCTCTCCCCCTCCCCCCTCCTCAACGATATGAGCGATCGCCCCAATTAGCGCATCCCCTTCTTTTCGTCTTTTTTTTTGAGTAATTAACATTCTTACAATATTCAATGGTTCACAATATGTACCTATGTTGTTTTCCCAATCCAAAAAGAACGTCCACACATGGAAGCGTGAAAAAATATGAATTAAAACAAGCAAAACGACCCTTCTCCGTAACAGCATGATGCACTATGTGCATTAGGCAGCCCGCCATGGGTTAAGGACTGGAATAAGTTAAAGCACTGCTCGGATTCAAAAATTTAAACAACACATTCCACCTCACAACACAGAGCACATCGACTTACATGGAAAGCCAAATCGAGAACTTCGAGTATAATGCATGAGAAATCTTAGGTTTCTCAGCTTTAAAAGCATCGAGTAGGCCTGACCGGCAGAAACAATGTTAGTCGAAGGAATGACGTCAAAAAATCAAATTATATTCCAATGAAAAGATAATGTCATTCAGTGCAATGTAAACACCCCCAATCACCGAATAATACGCAGCCACATTACATTATAATGCAGTTAGAAGTAATAAGAGTATAGCGAATGACAGCGAACGCATTTGAGCGCGTAGGTGTTCGCCTCTAAGCTTTGCTCGATCCCATGCTTCTCTTGTGCTCACTTCATGCATTGCCTCGACAGTGTAACTGTTAAACTAAAGAACCAGTCCGTGAAACCAAAGGGATCAGTCATGGTAATTGTACCCCCTGCTCGTTCACTTTTTTGCAGTATCTCGAAGAATCCGCTAGTCAAACAAACGAAAGACAAACGAGCTGGTCAAGCCCATTGCACTGCCAACTGCACGCAGACCTCAAGCTCACCTTGCTTCAAGTGAGGCAGATACTTCAGAGAGAGGCATCATTATGGATCAAGGTGTTTCGATTGAAACTATCCTGTTTTGGAGGATGGATCCTCCATTCCAATTCCTGATAGTGTATACTCTGTTCTCCATGGGCAGACTTGTTGTAATTACAGATTTATGATTGGTAACACTCGTGGCATTAGATAACATGAGGAGTATCAAGAACACATGCGCCAACCTTTTTCTCATCCCTCGCCACGTGTGTCACTGCGTCTGCACTTACGACTGGCCCAGCAGCGGGTATAGGAGTGTACACCATTCGCACTGGGATGGAGGATATTTTCTTTCCAAAAAGTAAGAATATTTTCAATAAATATCTGGAATAATGAATGCTGCTGCACCCTTGAACCCCTATCGGGTGTGGTTCGCTAGAAAAGAAAGCGACCTTTTCGCGTTAAGAGTGGGAAACATTCTTCGCTGGGGAAACCCCCAGGTCCACCCATAATCAGCTGTGAACACGAAGAAGTCGCTTTCTGTCCTAGCAAGTTCGGTCTACTTGACCTTTCTTCTGTGGTCCAGCCACGAATGGCGGAGAGCACAGACGATTAGAGAACGGCGCCTGGCTCGGCTCCAAATCCCAAGGAGGAGGTGAGAGCCCTAGGACTAAGCCTTGTAGGAGGGAGGGACTCCGAGGTGGGTGAGCCAACTACAGTGTGGCAAAAGTTTGAATGTGTGAGATCACAGTGGTCATGAGCCGCTGATAAGGTGAGAGAGCGCAGACGAAAGCGTCGAGTGAGGCAGCTTAAAGGACCGAGTTCAAGTAGTCCGTCGACCTAGCGATACCCTCTCCCCCCCCTTCTCCCACTCATAAATTTGGGTACCCCCCAGGAGGCCCGTCGCGCGGCAAGAAGGCAAAGTCAGCGGACGAGTCGCGCGCGTACTATAGGGATTTCGCGTCAAGTTAAATAGTGTCCCACTGCACGTCCTACATCGCACATCACGCGCTGCAACTCGTCCGCCGACTCTGCCTTCTTGCCGCGCGACGGGCCTCCTGGGGGGGGGGGGGTACCTCATGAATTTACGTCGTCGCCTTGTCTGTCCCAGCTTCCTAACTTGAAACTGAGCCTTTGTCGCATTGTTCCCGGACGACTTTCTAGCCTCGCCCCTATTGGATAAGTGATCAAGCTGGTCTCAAAAACGGTCCGCTCTTTTCCTCTGATGACATCACACCCATACATAAAATGAATAAGTTACCATCTTCGATATACCCTTATGTTGTTGAACACTTAAAACCACTCAGATTTCTTCAAACCTATAATCGTACTGGATATCCCTGAACCACCCACATTACGTACACTAATCAATGTTGAGCCTGAATGAAAACCCGAAACAATTTGACAGAAATCTTTACAGAAAATTTGAAATAATGAAGCAAAGTAAAAACAATACCTTTCTCCTAGTATCCGCCATGGCAATACCGGAGACAGCGGCAAGAATCAATACCAGCATCAACAGTCTCAACCAATAGTTGTTGAGTAGGCAACGATGCACTGACAACCACTACTGATATGGGAACAGCAGTGACCAAATATTGCGATACAACTCGGAGTGTTACAGCAAAAACCAGTTGGAAGCAGTCAGCGAATTTCCTTTATTACAATTCGGAATTATTAAGAAGGTACCAGATAGTTTTTCCACTTTTTTCCACGTACAAACTTATCGAAGGCAAACACCTGAGATCGGGTGATCAACATCAAGGCAAAATCATAAACGTACAGACAGCAAAAATGACAATAGCAAGCAAATTCAGTATGACACATCACGCCATACCAATCGAGCAGAACCATAAAGTCGTCACCGATTTGTCGGAGAACATCTAGAAGAACTACACATATGAACCAAAAAGTCGCAAAATTACACATCATAGAAGAAGCTATAGCAGTCACATAAAATATTAGTATAACGTCCAAAACATCGAAAAACAAACAATAATTGAACATTCTATCCAGTCCACTGGATAGAAAAGTAAACAAAGCTGTGTTTTAAAGGATATTCCCACTTCAGAACTTTATAACAATAAAGTTTCGAGCAATTCCACGATTTCATAAAGTTGCATGTTATTACGACTCGACCTCGTGTTTTAAGAAAGGAATCTGATGAAATCCGAATGAGAAAGTAATCTCACCAGATCCCCATGGAGAGAAATCAACACTGAATACCAGTACTACAAACCGGCCAATATTGAAATTGGGAGAATGTTATCACTGGGCGTCGAATAGGACACCAAACATAGGACTTAAAAAAACAACAATAATGTATATCGGAGATAAGAAATAAAGTAAAATACAACTATCGCAGATACTTTTTTATACGATTGTTCATCATGTGCTCTAATCAGAACGAAGAAAAGGCTCATACGGGCAGGCAATCCTTTGTTCTGGCTGCGTTTCTTCTTCATTTGACGACTTTCTTGTGCACGAGCATTCATCAACGCACATGGCGCAACTCTCTGACTCAACCACCTCCTTGCTACTAACGCCGGATTGCTGAACATCTACTTCAGAAGACAAACCATTCATCTGAAACTATGTCACAGGTCATAGCGATAGCCCTTTTTTCTGTATCGGGAAATCGTTGCTCTCTCAGCTCAAGAAATAAAACGGCTCAATAATCGTGTACTGACGTCAGCACTGAAATTTGAATACATCGGTGTAGTATTTTAAATCGCATGAAAACAGATGTGGTGGTCGAAGGATCAAATTACTTTCACTAGACCATAAATTTATTAGGTTGTCTCATAAGTAGTGTCGCTTTTTTTCAACCAAAAATTTTCATCTAAATCCCCATGCTTTTACATCGTCATATACCATTCGAAAGAGAATTGTCTGCTCTACAAGATGCTATGTTCTTCTTCCACTCTGTTCCAGGGTTTTCAAATTTTAGGCCTGCGAAATGGGAGGTCCCGCCGACAAAAATTGACCAAACCGACAACTAGCTCTAACTTTATTTTTTTTGGGAGAAATCAAGTTTTTACGCTAATGACTTGTTCTTTTAAATTCACTAAGTTTTTCGATGTTGTCTCGGCTATAAAAAAATTTCGACCTAGATCTCAGGTAATGGTGCTCGACCGTCGAGTTCTGGTTGAAAAACCAGGTCTGGAAATGGAATGACGCGACTTGTTGGGAAACCTAATAGTGTAATGTTCAGAAGAGGTCATGAGTAAGTAGAGGGTACATATTGATTGATTTCTCCAAGGGAAGATATAAAGTTAGAGATAGTTGTCGGTTTGGTCAATTTTTGTCGGCTGGACCTCCCATTTCGCAGGCCTAAAATTTGAAAACCCTGGAACAGAGGTGGAAGTGAGAACATAGCATCTTGTAGAGCAGACAATTCTCTTTCGAATGGTATACAACACGATGTAAAAGCATGGAGGTTTAGATGAAAATTTTTTGGATGAAAAAAAGCGACACTGTTTATGAGACAACCTAATACATGTGACAAGGAAAGAGCACGCCAGATCACAAAGGAGCAAGAGGGATGAGCTGGAATACCACGCATTGCGCTGCTTTTCAAATGGCAATGAAATTCTTTGAACACGCACTGCAGGGCACTGGAAGGCACAGGTAAGGTTAAGACACGCAGTGGTGTTAAGTTCGAAATAAAGTGCAAAATGTTGGCAAGAAGGCGGAGAACTGGGCCAAAAATCTTTGAAGCATTCTGAATTGACGCGAGGAATCTAGCAATGAACTGCCGAGATGAGCGATAACGATAGCAATAAAAATATGAACTAATACAGCTCCTCTTCAAATCTCCCACTTTCCTTCTCTTTACAAGTCTCGACTTCCCGACCCCACCCACTTCCAAAGAAATGGTTTCCTCCCATTACAAACAATGACGAATGAGAGCCTCATTTGCAAAAAATAAATCATATCGCATAAGAAGGCTTCATACCTCTGTGCTGTTTGTATCAACTTCATCAACACTTTTTCGCTCTTCCATCGAGTCACTGCTTGTCCGACGCTCCAAAATGCTGTCTAGTGTTGAGAAACGACGACCTCCAGAAGAAGAAGAAGATGATGATGATGTCCAGTTAACGCTAATGCTAGAAATACACCTTTGTATCGGCACTACAGAATCCTTGGCTTCCAATCCAATCAATATGCCCTGAGTCGTGTGTTAGATGTTACATGAAGGACTGTTTACTTTCTTGCAAAAAGGCCGCCAGAGTCATACTTACGTGGTTGGCTGAACAAACTCCTGCGGTACAGCAGACGTATACGGGAAGCTTCGGTCAGTGACAAGTGGTGAAGTAGAATTGCGTACGAACACGCCCGAAACGCTGCTACTCCCACAACTTCGCTTCGTCTCCACCTCGTCAACCCCTGCTGTATAGCGCCTCTTCAAAGCAGTTTTCGTCGTGATGGGAGAGAGACTCCTTAAGATAAAATACTCAGAAACACCCAACATTTTAAGAGAGACATAGATAGTGAGCGCACTTCTTACCATTAAAATACTAATTCTTACTTTTCCAACAACAAATGACCTGAAAAAATCAAAGCATAAGTAGCGAGAATAATAATACCTAAGTAATCGCTGTCTCGTTGGGCTTTGCGTCGGACTAGGTGTGGCAGAATACGGCATATTTGGGCGGACCATTTGGTGAGTAGAAGGAGAATAGCATTGCTGAAACAAGAAAAAATTGTGAAATAGTGAAAAGTGAGTGTTCAAATCTTCTAAAAGCTGCTTTAGTCCACCTAAGTCCTCATTTGCAAGCAGTGTGCTTCACGGAAGAGAAGCCTACAAATATTTTCTCAATTACAGCTCTCGAATCAAGCTGTATCAATACGCTGTACAAACAAGTCAAAAGCAGCGCAACCTTACTAAAAACACCAAAAACGCTGAACACTCAATTTCATACTGAAAATAGCACCATTGTCTTTAATTCGAATATTTATCCTAGCGCAGTTGACAATCAAACAAGCACTAGCTATTTTTGACAATGTTTATTATTTCGCATGACAGAGCTTGTCCGTCTATCACCTCCAGGAAAAGCGATTACCCGCAACTCTGACTGGGTAAGCGGAACCAGATCGGGGGAAGCTTCAAACACACAAATTCATAGCGATGAACAAAGGCAAGCCTGTGAGACGATAAGAAAAAGTAAAACGGGGAATCCTGGTCGTTGAACTAAGATGACCGTCGTTAGGAGAATGATGAACTTATTCCTTGACTAGCAGTGAAAGGTATTCACAATGACTCCTTCCGGCAATCAATTGAAATTAATTTTCGAAACCGCGTTATGATTACCGATTGATTGATTGTTATGTTTATGATTACCTTGTGTATTTCGGTAACTCTTGTTGGACTGGGAGAACAGCTGTGAGGGAGAAAAACGTTGGTAACAATCGATATTGGCTCTCCCACAGAAGAAGCGGAGGGTGCACGCCGGCGCATCTCCTGAATGGACAAAAGAGCAGAAATGAAAACTGCTGAACTGCTTTAATGATATTTCGAAAATGCAAATAAAAAGAAGGAGAACTAACCATTGCTGAAGATGACTCCAATGTTATGTCATCAAAAACCGCACGAAACTTGCTGTGATGTTTTCACGAGACGTTCGTGTTCCACCTTAAAATATCCTTGTAGACATTTTCTACGAAAGCACAGTCGGTAAGCTATCAACGACCCTCGTTCCGATTTGCTGAAGAAATCATTTTCACAGAGCACGTCGCTCTTATACAACCAGTAATCAATCAGTTTTTTTTCCAAAGCCAGCACTGCCACGCACCTCTGGTATCTAACACTGCGATCTCTCATGCGTTTGCTAAGATATAAACGCAAGTAACGAACTCAACACAACCAGAGAGTACGGAATTTCCCCCTTATGCATTCACAGAAAACTTGTCAGTGAGGGAATAGTCCCGTAATTAAACAGTCTTCCCTAAATTGACTTTATTTTGAGTGTGCCATGCCATACAAATGGATACATCAAACAGAGATGAATTGATCCCTCAGTAAGCATGCCATGTAAAAAATAGGTACAGTAATCGAATAATCAACGTAGGTTCTCGTTGCGAAAAAGGAGAGAGGGAACCAACCGCCGGAGGACAAGCGGGCAAGTTCAAACTGCAGGATGTAAAGCATCGCAGGGACCTCAGGCTCAGTACTGCACAATTTTACATGGCATGCGCCCAATAAACATACATTGCTTGCGCAGAGCTTATTTCATGCAACATAAGTGACCGCATTAGAAATTTATTAACCGTTAGTATATATTTTGACAGCCAAAAAAACACTAGAAGAAGAGTCATTGAATGACTTTTCCAATTTATAAGAGCGACAGGAGCATAATATAGGTATTCAAAAAACAAAGCGCCTGAATCTAACCTCATTATTGAGTGAGCAATCACTTTCACGGCGTATGTTGGCAATTCGCCCTCTTGGCGCGTCCAATCTTCGTGCTACAGGCAAGCTTGTCTCCGCTGCCTGAACAGCAGGAAGTACCATGCATACAACCAAATAGAAGAGAGTGGAATCTAGATTGAACTAACTTTACTCTTGCTGATTTTTCTCACAATGGGTTCATCTCCATCTACTGATCCACCTCCCACTGTCAATTCACTCCCGTCAGAATCGCTCGACGATGATGACAGCTTTCGTGCCGACCGTTGTGCGCTAAGGAGAACGGAAAATGGACCGAGAGCACAGATTAACATTTTTCTAATGATGGGTTATTTACCGAAATTTCTCCATTCCCTCAGATGAAGACTCCTTCGAAAGAAAAGAACCATCCAGTGAAGATCGGGAAGAAGTTTCGGAATCGGCAACTGAGTCTGAACATGAATTCACATATATGAGGAGCGCGAAATTGTATGAAGGTATACAAAAGACACTTACTATTCAAGAAGTCAGGCCGAGGAAAAGAGGAGAATGCGTTCGGTGATGCTTGGCTCAAATTGAGAAACCTAAAGGCGATTAGCCGTGTAGCAAAACCATAACAAACGAGAAAGGAGAATTGAGAAACTTAGAAAACACATTACTTACGGTGACTGTCTATGAAGAAAGCTTCCTTCGTGTACTTCCTGTTCACTGATAAATGAACAATTTGACGGTGCTGGTGAGCAGCCTTCAGACGGCAGTTCCTTCTCCATGAACCCATCTGAACATTTAAGATGAATATATGAAAAAATAGACTGTTCACAAGTAGGTGTGGCGTTTACGTTCAAGATCATGGTCAGCTTGAAAACTGAGGAGTGATTTCAACAGAACGATTTTTCTTGATTACTGAGCAAGAATTTAAGATAAATTGAACATTAATAGGGGTACTGAAGCGGTGGAAGCTTGGTAAACTACTAGGAGAAATCAGCTTTTGAGTCACATTTAGCACACATTTAACCTGTTGGCTGAGACGTGATTCAGGCCAGACGAAACACCACCGTTACTGACCGCATGCCATAGACACTATGATATCTCTTGAAATTTGTTTCTGTACTTCACGCGGCACTGTGACGGTTTGGTCCACCTTCTAATGAGGCTCAGCCTGGATAAATCTCAAGATAAGCAGATATGGTCGGTCTTTTTTCGAGTCTTCCCCCAAACAAACATCACAACTGAGCCGCTCCTCTAATTAAATGAGAAAGGGTGAGA